GAGGATTTTGAGATACAAAAGTATCAAATATTTTGTTCTTCACATTTACATTTTTTTTCTTTTTTTCTTTTTTTTTGGTACTAGGGATTGAATATGGGGGTGTTTAACTACAGAGCCATATCTCCAGCCCCTTTTATATTTTGTTTAGAGACAGAGTCTCCCTGCATTATTTAGGGCCTCACTAAGTTGTTGAGGCTGGCTTTGAACTCACCATCCTCCTACCTCAGCCTCCAAACTGCTGGGATTACAGGCCTCGGCCAATGCACCTAGCTTACATTTTTTTTTTATGAAGAAAAATACATTGGTTTTAATTCATGAATTCTAGGGTAACTTAACAGGATCTCATTAATTATGTTAGTTTGTATTATAATGTTAGTTTAATATCTGTATTTTATTTTATTTTTTTAAACATCAGAAATTTATTGGTTGCTCAAAACATTACATTGATCTTGACATATCATATATCATACATTTGTTTCAAATGGGGTATGAATTCTTATTATTCCCCCATGTACAGATTGCAGGATCACGTACAGCCATGTTTATACATACTGCCACACTAGTGTCTGTTGTATTCTGCTGCCCCTCCTATCCCCTTCCTATCCACCCTCCCCTCCCCTCCCCTTTGACTTTATATGGCAAGATAGTGTTCAGCTGGGCTCAATGGAGAGTAGGGAAAGTTTCTTTCATGTAAAAGCACCAGGGTTTTTTTTTGTTTGTTTGTTTTCCTTTTTCTTTTTCTATAGTGTTTTAGGCTTTGTCCTGTAATAAGAAAGTGGTGGGGGCAAAGAGCCAGGCCTGGAGCAGATGCTCATGTTGTATTTCTGTGATTCTGGTGTTGGAGATACTGAAGGCCATTTTGCTAGGCTCCACTCTTAAATTTCAGGAAAATGCATTTGGCGAAATTTAATGTTGGTAGTAAAAATATACAAGGTTGTTATGGGGATAAAATAGGGTTAATGAATGAATGAGTCAGTATTAGAAATGCAATGTTTGGAAAGCAAACAAGGGTGAGGAGAAAGAGAATATGATTTAAGATCATGGAAATCCATTGCCTAACATGACGGTTAAACAATAAATAGCAAGTACAATTTAGCTATAAAAAATTTACAAGCACGCATGAATAAAGTTGGGTGAGCATTTTTTAGAGAAGACCAAAAAAGGAGGAACAAGAGTACAGTTAGCCCTTTCTAGCTGTGGGTTCCAAATTCATAGACTCAATCAATAGCCTCTTAAAAATATTTGGGGAAAAATTGTGTCTGAATATGTACAGATATTTATCTGGCCATGGTTCTCTAAATGATAACAACTATTGAATAACATTTGCCCTCTAATAGGTAATATAAGTAATTCAGAGATGATTTATGGGAGGATGTGCATAGTTTATGTGCAAATACAATGCCATTTTATAGAAGGAACTTTTCTTTCTTTATTTATTTCTTTTTTTTAAAGAGAGAGAGAGAGAGAGAGAGAGAGAGAGAGAATTTTTTAATATTTATTTTTTACTTTTTGGCAGACACAACATCTTTGTTTGTATGTGGTGCTGAGGATCGAACCTGGGCTGCACACATGCCAGGCGAGCACGCCACCACTTGAGCCACATCCCCAGCCCTAGAAGGAACTTTTCTATGAGGGATTTTGATATCCTTTAGGGTCTTTGAACGAATCCTTAGTGCATACTGACTATATCTACTCTGTATGTTGGGTTTTTATTGCTTTATGTTCTTCTTTTAGGTGATCTTTTTCTGGTATATTCCCGTGTTATTAATAAAATAATATCAATGAATAAGTAGATCCATCTATTTAACCCTTTTCTTGAGTGCCTGCTGTGTGCCTGCACTTTGGGGGGACTTGATATAACTAGGTGAGTGGCATGATCCTCCTTCTGAAGACCTTATGAATCATTAAGTTCTAATAAGTGCAAGAGAGTAAACACAGGTAGGAGGAAGTCAAAGTGAAGAAATGAAAATACAAGTGTCTAAAGAAAATAAATATTTATAGAGGGAATTTTCTGCTGCATTAATCTTTGTGGAAAAATTATAAAATTGTAGGAGAAAGAAAAGACACATAGACTATTCTGTTCATTGGCCATTGAACAATGCACTCTCCTGTGCTCCAGGGACTGGTGGGTGTCAGACTACTCAGTGGGCGAGTGAGAAGTCTGCTGGGCTGCAGAGGGATGGGGTTGAAGAGAGAAAGACATCAAACTCAGAGCCTCCAGGAAAGCTTCTTGGGAAGTCTGTCTCCTAGTGGCATCATCAGATTTCAGGAGTCAAAGGTTTAACAAGGCACAACATGAAGAAGGAATAGCTTATCCTGCCTATCCATTGTCATTTATCTGTTATATATACAAAGGGACAAAGATAAGAAAGCATGGAAAACTATAAGCTGTTAGGAAACAAACAAACAAACAAACCTTGCTATTGCTGTGTGCCGGGCCTTAGGCAAAGCCCTTTCTGGCCAAGTATGGAGGTTCATAAATGGAAAGGAACAGAAGTGGTTCTAGCCCCAGCTCCACCACTTACACTTGTGTGACCTCCAACAGTTCCTTTAACTTCTCTAAGTCTCAATTTCTTCATCTGTAAAATGAGCCTGGCAATAGCAGTACCAGCCTCACACAAAACCAGCCTTTCTGTAGAAAACCTTTTGTTATTGTTGTTGTTTTAGTGCTGAAGATTGAACCCAGGTCCTCCTGCCTACTAGGCAAGTGCTCTACCACTGAGACACACCCCCAGCCCAGATCACTTTTCATTATGCTGGCATGAAGCAAGTGTCTAGAGAATGCTAGTTCACTTTAATTACCACTTTAGTTTTATTCATTCATTACCCTTTCAGAAGAAACTGCCAGAATGTGCCCCAGGCCACTCACTGTTCATAAGTAGTAAAGCAGCTCTGCCTGGTTGCCTCACACATTAGGAGGCGGGTGTTAGAGATAGCCTGCAGGGGAAGGCGAGACCAGAGCTCAGAGAGCCTCTGAGCCTCTGGATGTTGGATTTCATCCTACAGGTGCATCTGTAGGACCTTCAGATGAAGATCGACAAACTCAGATTTGCAGTTTAGAAAGATTATTCTAGCAGCAATTAAGAGTGGTTTAGAGAAGGGAATAGGGATGGCTGAAAGTCCAGCGAGGAAGTCATTGCCTTAGACCAGGGGGAAAAGGCACTGAGTACAGTGAGGCAGGAGCAATGGGATGGACAGAAACAGGAGCATTTAGGGCAGGGGAAGGAAGCAGATAGGAGGTGAAAGAGAGGAGGGAGAAGGAGAGATGAGTTGCTCCAGGCTTTATGGCTTTGTTGACTGGGTGCGCAATGGCACCTTGGACCCAGAAGGGGCTTTGATCTTGGCAAGCTTGGGGTACTTTGGAGTCATTGAGGGGAAATAGTCAGTTGACATACAAATCCAGAAATTGGAAAAAAAATCTGACTGGAGAATTTACTTTTGGGGTTGAAGGTGTGAATGTGAATGAGATCATTTAGTCTTTCTGTCCACATCATGGAGCACCATGGATCAGGGCTCCTCTCCCCACGAGTTTAGGAGGAAAAAGACAATCAAAGTCATTATTTCCAGGAGACTTGTACTCTAGTAGGGTGGTGAGGAGAAGTCATTAAATAAGTAACAAACAAGTGAAAAGTGTAACTTCAGCCATTTCAAATGCTAGGAATATAATGTTACAGGTTGGATAATCTTTTATGAAGAACAGTAGAAACATTCGCTGCAAACAGAACAACCATACAGTTAAGCAACATAATTACTATACTATAACAAAGAAGATTTATTCCACCATGGGGAGAAAATTTTCTGTGCAAAGAGAGCACCAGAAGAAAAAAATAAACAAACAACCCCCCCCAAACCAATTTCCTAATGCTAGGAGAACCTTAAGTCTAGATCAGTTTTTAGAAAGGAACTTAATTAGGTAAGAGTAAGAGAAATAAAAATCAGTAGGTCATCAGAGATGAGGGGGAAGGCAAGTTCAAAAATTTAGAATTTACTAGGAGAGGCAGCTGTGTGGGAATGTACAGATGTTGTGTTGCTTTCTCTGCAGAAACATACACCCATGGGAATGTTTGCACAACCCTATAAGTCACTGGTAGTCATTGAATGCCTGCATGCCACAAGAGGGGACTATAGTGCTGAGCAGGACAGAGAGGGTGGACCATGGTGGCTCAGCACCTGGTCCAACCAGGAGACAGATGTAAAAGAATAACTCTACAAACATACCATTGTGGGATGTGAAATTTGCTAGGAAGAAATGGGTGAGGCTGAAAAGAATATACTCTGGCCCTTGTTAGCTTAAGGGATTGCTAGCCAGCCAGTGCCTCCAGGCTCTGCCCAGCTGACACCCAATGACAAGCAAACTTGGATGTGATATTTATAAAGTTTGAGATTGTCTGGTTTGAGTACTAAGTCAGCAGAATAGTCTGAGCAAGCATGTGAGTGCCCAGGGGAGATGGGTGTATCCAGCAGGCAGTGGAGGAGGTGTTGAGTGCTCTGGGAAAGGCAGGAGGCATGTCATGTTTCATGAATGTGTCCCTGTATGGAGAAGGTGCTTGAAATCATCCCTGCTCCCTGTGAAGCCTTGTGCTCAGCGTGGGTCCAGAACCTGCTGACGGTCACATGGTCATTTCAACATGAAGTTCATTCTCAAGGTGAAGCTGCTGAGAACGGAAGAAAGGGTGGCCTGGAGCTGATGGAAGGAAGAAGCCAGTGCCATACAGTAAAGTGTGGGCAACTAGCTCTCCAGTGACCCTTGGGCATTTTGATGGCACCTTCATTGATGGGCTGAGACCTGGGGGAGCAATGATAGACCAGCTCATGATCTGAGTGTCCCAGGTCCATTCCAGGATCCCTGAGTGAAATCGTGGAAGTATCTGGCTGCTGGGTCTGTCTCATAGAACTTAGGTAGTTTGGGGAACCGCTAGGCTATAATATTTTTAAAGTATGTTTTTATTGGAAATTCCAGAATACCTAATTCTTTTTGGTTTTTTTCCCCTTTTATCTAGGCACTGGGAAATCACGAATTTGATAATGGCGTAGAAGGACTAATGAATCCACTCCTCAAGGAGGTCAACTTTCCAATTCTTAGTGCAAACATTAAGGCAAAGGGGCCATTGGCATCTCAAATAGCAGGACTTTATTTGCCATATAAAATACTTTCTGTTGGTGGTGAATCCGTGGGAATTGTTGGATACACTTCAAAAGAAACCCCTTTTCTTTCAAATCCAGGTACTTTCTACTTTTATGCACATGTGGTTTGAAAATAGATGGGTTAAATCAGACCTTGGTAGTATTTTTATGGATTGTAGGAAAAATAAGAACAACTGGGCAAATGATGCACTTAGGATGACATTGAGTCTATGTTCTAAGTTACTTCTTAAAGACATAATGCCTTCTGCTCAGTGAACGCTTTGTTGACATAGAAAGTATCGTTGTTTAATTCAGTGCATTCAAAACCAGAAGTGAAGTCTGGCAGGGGCTGTTCCTATAGATCTCTGGCCCCTAATCAAGCCAAATTTTTCTAGTCCTAGTGACCCAGGCATCTACAGATATATAATTTGTATTTCTAGCACATTTAATTATTTTAATTAGGCAATGGAATTCCTGCAGTGTAATTCTGCCTGTGAGATAAGAAGGAAGATGTTTAATGTATCATAAATTGGTAAGGCAGTGGAGAAAATTGAGCAGGAAGGAGAGGGCAGGTGTGGGCAGGAGCATATACCTTGTCATGTTAAAGGGACTCCCAGAGAAAGACTTAAGAGAGGGCTGACCAAAGAACCTTGGGCTTCTTGGGGTAATCAACAAGAAGCAGGCTTCTCATGTTAGACTACGGTGGCAAAGCTGTTGCAACTCTTGATTTTTTTTTGGGGGGGTGGGGGTAGGTGGATATTGAGGTTTGAACTAAAGGGCACTAAATCACTGAGTCACATCCCCAGCCCTATTTTGTATTTTATTTAGAGATGGACCTCACTGAGTTGCTTATTACCTAGATTTTGCTGAGGCCAGCTTTGAACTCGAAATCCTCCTGCCTCAGCAACACCCCCCTCCCCACCAAGCTACTGGGATTTCAGGTGTGCACCACCACACCCAGATGCAACTCTTGATTTTTAAATGTTGCTTATAAGTTATGACAACACAGCAAGTCCAAACCAACTGTGAGTGGCTAATTTTCAGATTGTCTGGTTATGATGTCAGCAGTGTCGTTTATCTTCAATGATAATTTGCACATGTGGAATTGAGATGGCGTTAGGACTCCACAGAAGCATATGGAAACTCCTGAACATCACAGTGTAAGGAGATGTAACAAGGGATGCATTTTTAATAGTCTTGTTGTTCTTTGGAGAAAAATATTTTTCAAGCTGGAATTTGCAGACTTTCATTTTGAAACTTCTTTATGGGATGTTCTTTTACTTCATAATCTTTTTTTTTTCAATTTGGCATTTTAATTTTAGTGCTGGTTCTTAGAAATTAGGGTAAGGAGTCTGGATCAACTAGAGGACTGCCTTGCAGCAGAGAACTGGGTTCAACTTTAGGGCAGTGTGTCAGCATTTTCAGTGACCTTCATGCTAGTCAGAGTCAAATAACTCAGAACTTGCTGAGATTCAGCTACAGAGACTAAGGAACTGGTCATGTTGAAGCCAAAGTGCACCAGGTTGAGCAGCCAGACCCATACTTACCAACAAGAGATTGTTTATTACCACTGAGTTTAAGTATAAGCAGCAAGTGAAGAATGTACACATTTCCAGTGCCAGCAATGTTTAGATGAGATCCCTGTTCAACGCAGATGTCAGTAATGCTCTAGTGCTGACATCATCCTTAAATGAATAGACAAAGTTATCAACTGCCATGTTGAAATTATCATCCAAGAACTACTTGCTGATAGATTTATGTTTGGAGGCTAATTATCCCAAGTTTCCAAACACAGCCCTGGAGCTGCTTCTATATACATCAGGTTTATATGCTCAGACATTTCTGCATTGACATTATGGAAGTTTACATGTAAAAAGAGATAAACAAACCATGTCTGTGCTCTCCTCATAGTTTGGGATTGAGCTCAATTTTAAACTAATGCAACATTAAGTAAAAGTAACTGGGAATGTGGATTTGAAGTTTTATTAGCTTCAGTAATGTATAAATACATTTTAGTCTTAATTGAAGAGTTTTAACAAATTAAGTTGTCCACTAGGCACAGTGGTACACACCTGTAATTCCAGCAATTTGGGAGGCTGAGACAGGAGGATCACCAGTTTGAAGCCAATCTAGTTAATTGAATGAGACCCTGTCTCAAAATGAAAATATAAAAAGGGCTGGCATTATAGCTCAATGGTAGAGCAAGCCCTGAGTTCAATCCCTCAGTACCACTAAACAGAGAAATAAAACAATAAAATAAATTAAGATGTATATACTTAGCATGTTAGTATATAAAATAAGAATATAATCAAAACTATTTATTTTGTCTCTTAGGAGCGAATTTAGTATTTGAAGATGAAATCGCTGCCTTGCAACCTGAAGTAGATAAGCTAAAAACTCTAAATGTGAACAAAATTATTGCACTGGGGCACTCTGGTTTTGAAATGGATAAACTCATCGCTCAGAAAGTGAAGGGTGTGGATGTCGTGGTGGGAGGACACTCCAATACTTTTCTCTACACAGGTAACTGTTTCAAAAGACTTGCATAGGCCAAGATGTCCAGATAAGTTACTTTGTCTTTTTGGCCTTCATAACTGCTGTTTTTTATTTCTATTGTTATCTAATATGCAATATGTATTTTATAATCTATAATACATTGTATATATGCAGTAGATATGGAATAGGTATGTAGGCATTTTTACTCAGAGGCATTCCAAGAATTTTTTGGTTTTATGATTATTAATTCCATTTATTTATGTATAAATACATACAAAACACACATATAAAAATATTACCAAACCCCATGCAAAAGTCAGTTTATGGATAGACTTATATCTAAAGTCAATATGTCATATAAATTTTTTAAAATTTTTTATTGGTACATTATAATTAATACAATGGAATTCAGTTTTACATACTCATATGTGAACATGTAGAACAATATCACTTGGTCAGTTTTGTTCCCTAGTATCTCCTCTTTCCCTCTCTTCCATCCCCTTCCTCTATTCTACTGGTCTCCCTTCTATTTTCATGGGATTTCTCCGCTTTTATCCTTATTAAAAAATGTTAGGGGCTGGGGCTGGGGCTCAGCAGTAGTGCACTTTCCTGGCATGTATGAGGCACTGGACTCGATTCTTAGCACCACATAAAATAAATAAAGGCCTATTAACAACTAAAAAAAATTTTTTTAAATGTTAAGCATAAACAAAATAATGTAAGTAGGGCTTGTATTGCTGATGGTGACAGAACTGGATTTGTAGGTTGCACAGGTAGCAGAGACTGAAACTCTGGGTTTGGGTTCTTACTTTCACTCTCCTGAATGCCAGGACTGAGGTCTCTATTCAGTGCATATATCAATAATGCTCTAGTGCTGACATCATCCTCAAATGAAAAGACCAAGTTATCAACTGCCGTGTTAAAATTGGAAACCCCGTGTGGCTCCTGGTGCTCAGAGGGAGATGTGTTCTCACCACTGACCTAACTGTCCCAGCTTTTTACTTAGAAATTCTAGTTATAAAAACTTTTGTTTTTGTTTTTTTCCATTTTGAACCTATGGTCTCCCAAAATGTTTGAATCTGCTGGTTCTGTCTTTCCCACCTGTACCTTGAACTACATTGATCTTTGAAGAGCACACAAGAAAAGGAGGAAGAGGAGGTCTGGCTAGTAAACAGCATGTTCATCAGCAGCTGGTCTCCCCTTGGAGAGACTTAGGTGGACTATATAAAGGCATCCTGCTTTTATAATTTTGCAAAACTCAAAATATTCAAATAATAGGAAATATCAAAAAATGTTAAATGTGGTTATCATCAAGACAATAGTTTTTATTTTTTATAGTACTTGTAAGTTTTTTCAGATACTGGATATGTTACTTTTGCAATCAGAAAATGAGGGAGAGGAGGGGAGGGGAGGGGAGGGGAGGGGAGGGAGTCAAGGGAGGGACAGACAGACAATATTGAGTCAGAAATCCTCATTCCTGATTACCTTAGCTTCAAAATGGGGATGATAACTTTTGAGGTGCATCATTGTGGTGAAAATCATGTGAGGTGGGATATGAGAGTGCTTTTTAAACTGTATGTAGCTATGCCCTGGATGCAGTGAAATGGATGTAATTTTTTGCTTACCAGTAAAAATATGTCAATTAAAATTAGGACTCACAAACTAGGGCTGGCCTTCACTTAAGAACATAATGCCAATATTCATGTTGTGCTAAGTCAACCCCTTCACATGTATTATTTTATCTTTTTGTAGTTACTTACAGTTAAAGAATAACTGTAACTACAAAAAGATAAAAACTGAGCTTTACCCATTAGTGGTTTTAAAAGCAATTTGGTAGCTTATGACACGTAGCTTTTTTAAAAATAGACTGGACTAAAATAGACTGGGCACTTACATTGTTTGTAAGAAGGATAAATATTGTTACACAGGAAAAGAAGTGTATTAAATGGTGAGACTAGCCCCAGGCACATGGCAGACAATCAGTAAGTGTGACAGAGATGGTGATAGACAGTGCTGTGAACTTTTTTCTTTTTTTTTTTTTTCTGGTGTTGGAGATTGAATCCAGGGCTGCTCTACTACTGAGCTACATTCCTGGCTCTTTATTTTTTATTTTGAGAGAGGATCTTACTAAGTTGCCCAGGCTGGCCTTGAACTTGCAATCCTCCTGCCTCAGTCTGCTGAGTTGCTGATATTATAGTCATGTGCCACTGAACCTGGCAGTGATAGGAACTTCTTGGGATAGGTATCATCATACCATCTAAGAGTCACTTTAGTAGCTCCAGAAGTATTACATAGACTAAGAGATTCAAGACCAGGGAAAATCCCAGCAGGTCCCTGGGCAGAAGTTATGACTCTGAAGTCCTACTAACCCCACCACTATCTAATGGTGGAATCCTGCTTGTGCCTCTTTTCCCTCATCTGTAGAATAAGGGTGGTAAAAAGAGTACCCATATAAAGGCTTGTTGGGATTTTGATACATGTAATGAATGGATGTAGGTAAATAGCATCTGTCTTAGTCTTTTTCCACTTGTATCATGAAAGACCTCAAGCTGGAAACTTTATTAAAAAAAGAAATTTATTTTATGTACAGTTTTGGAGGCTCAAAATCCAAGATCAGCCAACCTTATCAGTTTGGCCTCTGACAAGGTCCTTTTGGTTGTATCATAACATGGCAGAGAAGGAAAAAGGGAAATGGCCCTATGCAGAAGAGGCCAAGTAGCGGGGTGGCCTCACTTTCTAAGAACCCACTTCTCCAGAACTATCTGGTGCCTTACAACAGCTGCATTAATCTCTTCCAAAAATGATGCCCCAGTGACTTCATTCCCTCTCACTAGGCTCTACTTCTTCTTCCCCTTCTCTTTCTTCTTCCCCTTTCTCTTTCTCTTCCTCTTCCAGTATTGGAGATTTAGCCCAGGGGCACTTTACCACTGAGCTACATCTCCAGATGTTTGAGAATAGAGTCTTGCTAAGTTGCCACCACTGTCCTTGAACTTGTGATACTCCTGCTTCAACATCTTAAATAGCTGGGATTACAGGCATGAGCCACCACACTTGGCTTAGGCTCCACTTCTTAAAGGTTCCACCACATTTCAGCATTGCTGCACTAGGGACCAAGCTTCTAGCACATGAACCATGAGCGGACAAACCACATCTAAACCACAGAAGCCTCAGAACAGGGCTAATACTTCCACACAGCTCTTACAAACTCATTCTATGAAACTACTATTACTCTGCTACCAAAACCTGGTAAGGACACAGCAACAACAAAAAAGAAAACTATGGACCAATATTCTTGATAAACACAGATCCAAATATCCTCAATGAAATACTTTAAGTTGCAATTAGTATCATATTAAAAAGATCATATACCATAATCAAGTTGGCTTCATTTCAGGGATGCAAGTTTGGTTCACCATACACAATTCAATGCATACAACACAGCACATAATTAGAATGAAGGATAAAAATCACATGATCATCTCAATTGATGCAGAAAAAGCCTTTAATAAAATTCAACATCCTTTCATAATAGAAGCCCTGAATAAAGTAGGTAAAGAAGGATCATATTTAAACCTAATAAATCCTATTTATAGCAAACCTACAGCCAAAATCACACTGAATGGGGGAAAAACTGAAAGCATTTACTCTAAAATCAGAAATGAAACAAGGTGTCTACTCTTATCACTCTTATTCAGTATAGCACTGAAAGCTTTAGCCAGAGAAATCAAGAAAGAAAAATAAATAAATAAAATATAAATAAAAAATAAAAAGTAGAAAAATAAGAAGTAAAATTATCTCTTGTTTGCAGATGATATCTAGAAAACTCTAGAGTACACCAAACATCTCTTAGAACTGATAAATTCAACAAAGTAGCAGGATAAAAAAATCAATATGCAAATATATAATTTTCCTACACAGCAATAATGAACTTTCTGAGAAAGAAATCAGCAAAATAATCCCATTCACAATAGCCTTTAAAAAAAATTAGGAATAAACCCAACTAAGATAGTGAAAGACATCTACAATGACAATTATAAAACTCTAAAGAAAGAGATTGGAGAAGACACTAGAATATGGAAAGATTGCCTACATTCACAAATTAGGAGAATTAATATTGTTAAAATGACCCTACTATCCAAAGTGATATACAGATTCAGCATAACGCTCATCAAAATGCCCAAAACATTCTTCATATAACTAGAAAAAAATTCTAAAATTCATATTGAAACCCCAAAGATCCAGAATAGCCAAATAATCCTTAGCAAAAACAACAATACTGAAGGCATCACAATGCCTGATTTCAAAATATAGCACAAACAGCATGTATTGGCATAAAAAATAGACATATAGACCAATGAGATAGAATAGAAGATCCGAGAATAAATCCATGCATCTACAGCTATCTGATTCTTTAAAAAGAGCCAAAAACATACATTGGAGAAAGGACAGACAGCCTCTTCAACAAATGGTGCCAGGAGAACTGGATAGCCACATGTTGAGATTGAAACTAGACCCCTATCTCTCACTCTATACAAAAATCAACTCAAATGGATCAAAGACCTTAATGTAAGACCTGAAACCTTGAAAACTGCTATAGGAAAACACAGAGGAAATAATTCAGTAGACTGGTATAGACAATGATTTCCTGAATAAGACTCCCATGTAATAAGAGTAAACAAGAGCAAGAATTGACAAATAAGACCACTTCAAATTAAAAAGCTTCTGCACAGTGAAAGAAATAATCAACAGTGAAGAGAGAGCCTACAGGATGGGAGAAAATATTTGCAAGCTATTCATCTGACAGAAGATTAATATCCAGAATATGTAAAGAATTAAAAAAATTCAACACCAAAAAAACAAGTAATCAATCAATAAATGAGTAAACAATCTGAACAGACACTTCTGAGAAGAAGTACAAGTGGACAATAAATATATGAAAAAATGTACAACATCTTCAGCTGTCAAGGAAATGCACATCAAAACTATATTGCTATTCTATCTCACCCCCATCAGGATTGCAATTAGCA